AGAACTCAGGGTAGAGAGGAGTACAGGAGAACTCAGGGTAGAGAGGAGTACAGGAGAACTCAGGGTAGAGAGGAGTACAGGAGAACTCAGGGTAGAGAGGACTACAGGAGAACCCAGGGTAGAGAGGACTACAGGAGAACCCAGGGTAGAGGGGAGTACAGGAGAACTCAGGGTAGAGAGGAGTACAGGAGAACTCAGGGTAGAGAGGAGTACAGGAGAACTCAGGGTAGAGAGGAGTAAAGTGAGAGGTTTCGTGTTTTTAAAAATTTTATAACAAAAGAGATATTATTCTTTTGTTTAAGAAAAATCAACGTGTATATATCTCTAATTATTCTATCAAAATATATAAATATCAACGTTTATATTTCTCTAATTATGATATCAAAATATATAAAAATCAACGTGTATATTGCTCTAATCATGATATCAAAATATATAAAAAATCAACGTGTATATTTCTCTAATTATGATATCAAAATATATAAAATATCAACGTGTATATTTATCTAATTATGATATTAAATTTATAAAAATCAATGCGTTTATTTCTCTAATTATGATATCAAAATATATATTCAAGTCATTATTTTCATGAATTGTGAAATTAGATTTTATGTAGATTGTACTTCCAATATCTGTACTACCCTTAAAATAGGACGTTACCCATTTCCTTAATTATGATAATATATATTTTAATTATTAATATTGGTTTCGGAAGATTCTAAAATAATCAATAAAAAGTATTATTATTACTCGAAGTTGTATATATTTCCCTCAAAAAACTGCACCATCCTACAGCCGTCGTCGTACGTATCAATACAATGAAGAACACTTTTGATTTAAATTTTTTATTCATACCAAGCTTTCAAACAGCATGGATATACAAAACATGTAAACAAAGAGAAGCTGTCAATTAAGAGCTTCTCTTTGTTTACTTGCTTTTAATTTGATAAAAGCTTGTTAAATCAAAACTTAAATAGAACAATCGTCTTCATTTTATAGATGTAAACGCCGATCCTTTAATGTGCATCCTGAATCTGAATCCTCGTTGTGCGTGCACCATCATTGCGTCTCTTTAAAGAATGATAATAAGCAAACGCACTACGCAGGTCCACCGCTTTTGTATTGTAAATTGGGGGTACAGTCCAAACTAGCACCGCTAACGTTGGCCCAGCTCGGATATTCAAATATACACCGGTTATGCGAAAAAGATGTCAAATAATATGAAGGTACACTACACATCTCGCAGTTCTAAAATTTTGTTAAAATATGTTATGTGCTCAACATATTCTTCCTTTCCCTGAAGAAACAAAGTTCTGCTCTCCATTTTGGATGGACGGAGCCACTTTGGACACGATCAACCGAACAAACATGTGTCTTGCCTGTAACAGTCCAGAGTGATTTTAGAAAAAATGACTTCTTTTATTCTCCACATCTGCAGCACTCCAGCTTGCAAAATTATTCATTTACTTTGCTCCGAAGTAAAGATTTTGGATCATTTTCTTGGTTTTTATCAGGTTCTTCCCTTTCTGGTGATTTCTTTTATACCTTTACTTTTATTTATATACTTTGCTTGTCTGTCCGTTTGTATGCAATAAACGCCAAAACTGCTGAATCGATCGGGCCAAAGATTTTTGAGGCAACTCACATGATCCCGAGGAAGGTTTATGGATGCTCAAAATTACAAAAATCTGTATCCAAAATGTTGATTTGGAAAATTTTGAAAATCCACGAAAACATTTGATTAAATCCAGGAAATTTTTTTGTTTTACAAAGAGATAGAGCCACAATGAAAAGTTAAAATAGAAGATGGGCGCAAAGCGCCCGGAATGCCTAGTTTAGTTACATTTCTTAAAAATCATTATGTAATGCAGTTATTGAATTGTAAACATTCATTCATTTATTTAGAACATTAAATATTGAAAAATGAGTGAATAGATTTCTCTCTGTATGATTAATATTTAGAAACCGGAAGTATTTTCTTTGACCGAACCATGTGACAAATCCAATATGGCGCCCCAGGACCTAAACCGTCTGCCACCTCCTAGTCTAGTTATTGTACTGGAGTCCAGGGGGTAAAGAAACTAGCAGAATAACTCCATTAAGAACATCTTTATCCTACTTTAAATGATTTATTAGCGTGGTTTTCCTCCCAGCATAAAATGGCTGACAAATGAAATTTATATATATATATTATTATTGTTCATCATGTGCAGGTAGTACGATTGAAAAAATTCTTTGGAGAAGTTAAAGGGAGTGTTCGTTAAAAAAGAACGGGGGTATAATAGGCAGATCCTGAATTGAATTATTGAAATATTTCGAGAGCTAGAGACATGTGTCAAAAGTACATCGTAAATAAAAAATAAAAAGATTGTGAGTGAAATATACACCTTTAAATTTTTTCGAACACTCCCTTTAAGGAATATTATTTAAGTAGAGTAAAGGCAGAAATAAAGACCTTTAAATCTCATCCTTTGTGGGTAACTATGTATTGTAAAAAAACAAGAATGCTAAAGGTATGATTAATTGTAATTTAACGTGACCCCCCATCTACACTGTACACATGCTACTCTGCTGTGTAACAATAATAGAAACATCGCCGTCGTATTTCTATCTTGAAAAGTGATTTTACAAATTACAATGTCCTTTATAATGTCTCTGCAATCAAAAAATTATTTAATAGAGAAACCACAATAAATTAATTTTTTTCTTGGTGTATTTTTCTTTAATTTTTTTTCATTACGGAATTACCTATTCTTAAAATCAGAAAACTGTGGAATAGAAAGACGACATTAAAACAATAATTATTAATTAGGTGTATTAAATCTTGTTACAAAGCAAATAATTTTACAAGCAACATATTGGATCACTTATTAAATTAAATGGGTATGTTTACACTGCACAGTTAAGTCATAACTTTAGTCTAAATTTTCTAAAATATTCCAATGCAATTAAACACAACATTTGTGCCCTTTGCAACATTGCAGTTTAATTTTTCGCCTCATTTTACGAAATAAGTTGATTTATAAGCTACTGGTAAAAAATTATATGCTTAATAACAACATTCAAAACAAGTAATGCTTCTAAAATGTCGTCTTCCTATTTCACAGTTTTCTACACTGACGTATCTTGGAAAACATGTCAACTAATGTGAGTTTATTTAGTTTTTCTTGTTATGTGACACTTGTATCGTCGTGTATAATTGATCCATTTCTCTGTTGCCACCTATTGTACAACTACAAAAAGGAAAACAAGTGAATTATGCGACGATTTTTGTCGCTGAACACAATAAGCTATCCCAGTTTAAAATAGTTGAAAACTTTATATCATAGTTCATGGATTTCCAAAATGTGGTCTGCCTTGTTAAACCCTTCACATTGTTGAACTTGATAAGAAATTTGTCAAAATTTCAATGTTTTACAGAAATCAAATTGTGTAAATACCAAATATACAATTTCTTCGTCAGAAACTTTAAAGAGCGCTGAGAGCGCTACATGGTTTTATATAAAATATATAAATAAATAAAAGATCAACCATCATTCCGTGGAAATCAAGGCCGAGACCCCATCAAAAATAACCACCAAAGGGTGAAAATTAATGTATATCCGATTATGACATAAGTCTAGTGTGATCGAGACATCGAGGTCTAGGCCAGTGAAGGAAGTCACCTCCCCACTGCACTGCACACAAACAGCGCCTGGACTAGTGCATTTCGCTTCATAAGTCCAGTATGAATCCGTTAAATCTATTTCTGATATTATTGATTAATTGATTAATTAGAGCTGATTATTTAAATCTATTATTTACAACAGGAGATTAGTCCTCATGGCAGGCTGTCAACCAAGCTTCAGCCAGGATTGCCAGACACCTCCCTCTCCCAAGCAGATCATTTTTTTTTTTTTTTTTACCCATCCCCCCAAGGTAAGACCTGAATACTAGTCTGATTGAATCAACACTCCCCAATTCATTATTGAATAATTCTGAAATGCCAAAGCTCCTACGCTGAGCTGATACACAAGAGTCTTAAGTAAAGGATTTTTAAAATTTATTGATAAATCAAAATCGATCTTTTATGTCTTCTTAATTCCCACGGGAATTGGAGTACTTTTGATTAAAGCATTTTGTTCCTTATACATGACCTACATTAACTTCGAAAATCTAAAGACAGTAGTTTTAAATGTCGTCTTCATTTTTGGGAAAATTTTTCAAAATAATTCTTAATCGTTTATCTCAACTCATAGCGACAACAAATGGAGAGCAACGGTATTGAAAATTGGGTTTGAAATTTCTTAAAAAGTATCTTATTTAAAATCCTAACTTGACATCCTACCGACATGAAAACTAAAAGAAAACATATATTTTTCAGACGAGATTGACAATGAAAGTCGTCTTCCTCGAGTTAAATTTAATATTTTTCGACAACTGTCCGTCTATTGTGTACTAGGCTTCGCGCCCATCATCTTTTTCAACCTTTAATTGTGACTTTATCTGTGAGCATCTTTTCTTTGTACAATATAATTTTTTTTAATTTGCGAACTTCATATTATCTTTTAGCGCATTTTCAAAAGTTTACAAAATCAAATAATTTAAGATAAAAATATTTTAAGATTACATGTTTTAAGTCTTGATTGCCATAAACCTTCCCCGGGGGGGGGGGGGGGCACGTGAGTTCCACAGAAAATTTGAGCCTGATCGGTTCAGCCGTTTATTGTACACAAACAAACAGACAGACAAACAAGCTAAATTTATATGTAGATTATGATACTCATAATACCGTCACGCGTGTAAATTCATGATGTAAAAGTTTTAAACGAAAAAATAAGATAACGTAAACCTTATTTGCATAATACTATCTTAAAGTAGGTTGAAATTTTGTGAAAAAATTAGAAACGTATATACTAATCTTTCGACTTATTTCAACTACTTGAGATGTCACTAAGAGAAGTCTCACATAATTGCCCCACTTAATCATTGACTTCGAAAGATTACACAAAATTGACATTTTTCTTAATCCTTTCTACCTAGTACCTACCACTAAACAGAATAAAAAACTTTAATTTTTTAACCAATGAATATATTTAAGAGAGTTGGTATAATAATATGTATGTATTGTGTTTATATATAATATATGTTAGGTCATCACTGTAGGCAATATTCAATACTTGAGTTAACGGGTCCAGGTCTGGTGGGTTGTTTGGCACTATTTCTTGACTAGTCTTAATCCAATAGGACACTAAACCTGGACACCCTGTACATTTTACACCAGGATACACAACCAGGTGTACTGCAGTACTGTACACCCGGATATCCTGAACTTTAAAACATAAATAATAATAACATCTCTAGTATCAAGATTTATACAAGAGTAACAACGGAAGAGCTGGTGTTACTGAACTTCTTTTTTTTCTTTTCTCCGTCACTCTCGTCTGAGGGAATCCCCTCAGCTTTTCGTCCAAGCGAACTTACATAGGATGTGTTGCGCTTTACTACTGCAGATTTAACAGGATTGGAAGGGTATGCAAAGGGAGGATGGGATCGTCTATCTGTATCATGATCTGGACCTGTAGACATACTTTCACTGCTTTCACTGCGACCAGGTTCAGGATCGACTGGACTTGACTGTTGGAGGAATTCTTCCGGAGTCAACAGGGTTTCATCATTGGGAGAATTCATCTCGGAGGCGATACTGTTCCCGAGATCGTCCGGTGATACCGGAGTGTTTCCGTTCACTTGATCCTCAGTATTTCCCTTTCTTTTTAATCCGAATTTGGAAAGTTTTATTGACAGTCTTGACCTACTCCTTGGTTTGGTTTCTTTGAGATCAGTTTGTTTGGAGTCTGTCGATGGGTTGGGTTCGGAAAGTTTCTCATATGTACCGCTACGGATGAGCCTGCCTGGAGGAGGAGGAGGGACTTCTGTCTCCTGCTGAACCTTCCCCTTGGAGATCCAAACTCGTTTATCCTTCGCAGGATCTTTCTTCTGTTTCTTAGAATCTTCAACCTTCTTCCATAAACTTGCAATCTTGCTTGTAACATCCTTCTTAGGCACAGGTTTCTTTAATTCTGGGGAGGAATTAGCTGGTTTAGCCACAGGACTTAAAGCTCGAGTTTGAGGACTCAAGGGTCGTCCTATATTAGAACCAGGTATGGTTCTTAAGGTTGGACTTAATGGCCGTGAACCGTATCCTATTCTCCGCTCTATCTCTGAGCTTGAAGGAGTTCTCCGTGGAATATTTTCAGCTGCACTCCTCAGACTGTGACTGGAGGAGGAAGTTCTAATTGAAGTTTTGGAAACAGTTGAAGTCTTGGAAGCAACAGACGAGGTGGAAGAGTTAGAGGACCGTAGTCCTCCTCTTGTCAGGGACTTCTCACGTAGCTGCTGAGTTTTAGTTGTAGTAACAACTGGTTTAGGAGTAGGAAGAGGTTGAACTACATCTCTCCGGAACATACTCGGTTTTGGAGCAATTTTGGGAGGAGTTCTGTTTAGACCCGCACCTGTTCCTCGGAGGGAGACATTAGAACCTTGTCTAATGTTGGAGGCATTGGCCGTATTGGAGGTACTGGAGTTCGGAGGAGACTGCCGGGGGATTCCAGACGTTTTAGACTTCGGGGCTTCGTCTTTGGTAAATGTTCCTTGTCGAACAAAGGCTGGTTTCTCCGCAGATGCCGGAGATTGAGTCCTAGAACCTCGAGATCCAGAGGTTCTAGACTTAGGGCTTCCTATGCTAGGACTTCGAGTACTTCCTATCGAGCTTCCCGAATTGTTCAAACTCCGAGGAGGTGAGTTTAAACCAGTTTCCTTCTTAGCCGCAGCGTTGGCTTGTCTCAGCGCCATTGCTCTAGTTCCTCGAACCAGTTTAGGAGAAGTTACAGGAGAACTGTTTGCTCGAGATTTGCTTTGAGTTGGTTTGGGAGGAATGGCGGGGGGTACCGTCGCTCTTTTCATCGGCGGAGAGTACAAAACCCTCCGCCTTCCTCTCACACCCTTGGCAGGAATATCTTCCGCCACAATACGCGACTCCCAGGGTTTACAAATCCTAGGTTTGGGGATAGCTGTGTTCTCTTCTCCTTCAGGAGCCAGACGATCATCTTGTATATCCAGGAGGTTCTCTTTACTAGCAACACTACCCATGTCAGAGTCAATGCTCATCATCTCAAACTCCCGTAGGATCTCAACACTAGCACTCCTAAACACAAAATCAAAATGTATCAGATTAAAAACAAAAGGAAAGAACATAGCTTTTCATAATTTTTGAAATGTTTTCCGAATTTTCCAAATTGTTTGTGTCAAAACATCCATTTCTCAATTTTAATCCCAATACAACAGCGAAGCTGCCAACAAACATTCAATCTAAAGTTTGTCGATGTTTTAATGGAATTTAGAATAGATCTGTCTGTCAAATTATATCACTATAAAACATATATACATTATTCAGTTTAGTTTATCACTAGACAGTAGAAACTTTTATTCTTACAAACAAAACGTTTACTTTCTATAATTAAGTCAGATTTAGACAGGAAAACTTTAAATTTTAAAACCTATTTCTGACATTTAAGCCATTTTGGCCTTAAAACTAATCTTATCTCCATAGTTCATAATCATTTTCATCAAACGTAAGTACAATTATAAGAGCTTTGTTTTGAAAAAAAAACCTCCAGAGTTATAGAAAATTATAGTTCTAGGTTTCAAAAACGATGTTGGCACTAATGAGTTTACAGAAGTAATCATACCTGCTCCTATTGTCTTCCAGCAAATCTACTGATGTTGATCGACTTCTAGCAGATGCTTTCTGCTCAGTGATGGTTTGAACTACAAGCCTAGCCTCCGATTCAAGGATAGCGACCTCCTGGGGAGAAAGAAGGTCGGAGGGATGAATTGTCTGAGTTTTAAACCTTTCAGCCTCCTCCGCCCGTCTCTGCTTTAAGGTTTTAGGAGAAGCCTGCTCTGGGTTGGTTGGTATACAAACTAAATCTTCCTTACTGATTGTTCTAGTCTTGAATCTGGTTTCATCAATCAACCTCTGCTGACGGGAGGATCTGTGTTCTCGTCCTTGATTAGTCTCCTGGGATTTATATCCCGAGGTTTCACATGAATCCATCCTGGGCGTGGATTCATTACTTTTAGTGAAGGTTAAATACCTCTCAGGATCCATTTGTCTTTTTTCCTTGGGTGACAGTTTTCTGGCGGGTAATGGCGTAGTTTCTACACTGGATTCTCCTCCAGATTGCGCTGGTGTTGTACGCCTGGAGTCCCTTGGGAGTTCGGGAACCTCGCCGTCTACAGCATCACTACCTGTAGTTAATGTTGGTTCTATTACAGATTCCTCGTCAAATACATCTGTAACATCGGCACAGGTGTCTCCGGCCTCGTCAACAACAAAGGTTTCACCATTTACAGGGACCAGAGTTTTAGAGTTGACAAGGGTTACATCCTCCAAGCAGGTTGGAGGCTCTATAGCCTCTAAACCACCGGATAAAGAGGTCAGGGAGTATCCCATGGAAATACTTCTCTCACGAGTAAACGCCTCGACGGCCGCACCAGCAGGACGCACAATATCTAATATTGCTTCACTCGTCATACTGTGCGATGTATCATCTGAACCTCCAGAGCCTGCCAGAGCGGCGGCAACCTCAGATGATATACTCGCTACGCTCACCATAGAGTTCTCCATATCTATATCATCCATGATGGTTGGAGGACGAATATTATCCAGGTTGGAATAGCAGGACGAGAGAGAACTCAAATCTTCCTGGGACACTGATCCGACATGGGACCCGGAACCTCCTGGACAAGGAAAATAACAATCAATATTTAAATTTTTTATTTCAAAATTTTAGACAATTTTTACTTAGCCCGCATTTTAAAATGATGAATTTGAAAAATGCAATATTGTTTGCATGCAACCGACACAATCAAATATTGCACAATTTAAAAAATTCTAAAATATCAATGTTGCTTGACTAACTTCCATACTTTTTGATAAAACAACTTTGTATTTAGGACTCAAAATCTTTTGACTGTTCATTTGTCTTGACAAAAGTATTTCTATAATAACCAAATAAAAAATTAGGAGTCTTCGGTGAAATTTCAAGTGACCCTACATGCAAAGATGGCAATTCCCGATTTACAACGGTATCCATCAATAATGTGGAGGAAATTTTCATATTTTTATGTTAATAAGTGTTTTATCTGATATTTCCTAAGATGTTTTCCCATGCAGTAGAAATCCACAAGTCGCTTTTGAAGAGAAGCCACAATGGAGAACAATCACTTATAAACATTGATATTCAAGATCAGACAAACTTTAAGGGCACCGTTGTGAATCGGGCGTTGACATCTTTGAATAGAGGGTCACTTAATATTAAGCTTAAAGTCCCTTTAAAATATATCTAAACTAACCTAGTGCTCGTCTAACTGCCAAGGGGACAGAAGATCCTAGTTTCCCACTTAAAGTGTGTCTACACTCTAGCTTTACGTCGGAGGTCCTCCTGGTGACCGTAGGAGGGTTGAACGGCATGCTGAGGGAGGGGAGGGATTCCAGCATCAGAGAAGGAGGTTGGACCATACTTAAGGTTTCTCCGCCCTCGCTGTACATACTGCCGGTTAGACTTGGATACTGAAACATCAACTTTTAATACTTCAGAAAAAATGTTGAATTTTTAAACTATAGCCAAAAATTGAAGGTCAGTAAATCAACTTTCACTTCAAAGAAAACATTTTTCTTGGTAATGAATGGGGGTTTTTCTAAATGCCTATTTATTTACCTCTGATAGATCAAAGCTAGCTGCAACGACTCCAGCTTCGCGAGAAATGAGTGAAGAATTAAACCCTTCCATATCAGATATCCTACTCTGGGTCAGGGTCAAGGTCATCTCCTCCACCTGGTTGCTGGCGGACTCATGAATGGGAGAATGATGCAAAACCTCAGGTTCATCTTCCATATTGAAATTTACAATCGGGGACTCGGGTTTTGATTCTTTGGCTTTCTGTTTTTCTGGCTCAGTTCTTTGATCTGGTTTAATCTCTGATTCAAGGTTGGGAGAGGCAGATCTGGATTTAAGATTAAAGTTTTCCATTTCTCCGCTCTGTGGTCGAGATTTCGGTGGGGTTCGTGGTTTCAGTTTGAGCTCCGGTATCACAACGCCTTTAAATACATAAATAGCATAAGAACTGAACTATAAATCATGTATAATGTGAGAATCAAAGGCTCAAAAAGGATAACAAATTTACCTGGAATAAGTCTCGATCCTCGCGGACTTTTAGATGCAGGTCGTCTTTTCTCTCGTTCAGCACTGGCGGATTTCTCCCTTCTCGGCGATTTTTTAGCCCTGAATTTTCCAGAAAGATCAAAATGCTCCGATTTAGATTTTGGCATTCCCGAGGAAATACAGTCGGCCAACAAGTTCTCTTCGTCGTCGTTAGTGTTGTTCAAGGAATCAATTGACAAGGAACTTAAAGAAGAGTTAAAGGATTTATTCGGTTTTGAATCCTTTGGTTTATCCGGGACTCCTGTAGAACTACCAGAGCTGGCACTCCGCCCTACTGTCAGAGGGCGTGGCAGGTGTGACTGGAAGCTAGTTGATGAGGCCACGCCCCAAGAGGAGGTTCCATCACTACCACCTTTGCTGGGTTGAGAAGGAGGTGGGCCTAGAATATTTGATTTAGAGAGCTTGGTTCGAGTTTATCTTCAACTATTAAACTTGAGAGAATTTTACACAAAATCGACTTCTCCCGGAAATAACATCCGGAAATAAAAGAAAATAATAGTTTATCATCAACTAAACTTAAGTAAGATTCTGACCTTTTTGTAAATTCTGATCTTCATACTCCAGTGAGCTGAGGGAGTCATTCCTGCTGAACACAGCAGGGGTGTCCTCGGTAGCGTAGTGGAGGGGGGTCTCACCCCCTTGAGGGGAACCTACTCCGCGGCCCTCAGATGCAAGACGTGAACGTGGACCGTTCCCTCTGAAAAATCAAGTTTTAGATAAATATTTTGTGGTTCATATATTTAATGTTGAATGTTTAGATACAACTAGAAGTGAGAATACCTAGACCATGTTCTGCAGTATAACTTTTCTTATTATTTATGATACTCCTCTTCCTCTTTCACTCCACATAGACCCCCCCCCTTTAGTACCATTGTAGTTGGAATTAAAGGAAATATAAAGCCAAACCATATCTCATCTTTTTGTTTAATCCAATTTCAGAATCAAGTATTCTACACTCTACAGTGAGCCCCATACAACTCTAGAATAGGAAGACGACTGTAGTTTATGGGTCCCACTCTAGGATGTAGTTTATGGGTCCCACTCTAGGATCCTAACAAAACTCAGAGTGCTAGGCATACCTGCGATTACGTTTGTGCTCCAGCAGACCATCGTTTGAGTCAACACTAAGCCTGGAGGATGACTCCTCCTCGAAGAGGTCAGAAATGGAGGTTGCAGCAGAGAAATTGATTGGAGTATCCTCAACTCTATAGCTTCGAAGTTCCTCGCTACCCTCATACCTAAATCAGTCTTGAAATTAAATTATTTCAACACTTTTCGTCGTATTTTCTTTTAATAATAAAACTCGGTAATTTGTATTTATATAGGAACTATTAATTTCTGAAATTGTTTCACACATTTTTGAAATTACAAAAGCGTACCATCAATTAAAAAAATTAGATTAAACATATAAATTTAACTCAGGTATGAAGTAAAAGTTTAAGTTTGTCTACTCCATACATAACAATTAGAATGTCATTTCCATTTTTAGTTTTCAACACTCTTATCTCAGTCTTACTTCTCAAACATTGAGAAAGAGGTCGGTTTCCAAGTTTCAACTAAAACTAAAATTTCTCATTTCTATTTTGATTTTTAAAATTCAGAAATATCCTGAATTGTAACATTGAAAGAAGTGTTATTAGAACTTTAAATAAAATGTTTAAAAATTATTTGTGTAAGTTTGAATTGAATGACAATTATTAATATGATTTTCTTAAAAGATTATTTGATGAATATTCTCCAATAACTTTATATCATTGAATATCTATAACTATCTGAATTCTACCATGCTATTTCACAAATATTTAAAAACTCCATGGAAATGAACCTCCTAGGATCCTTCACTAATACAATGAACCAACCTACTTCATGCTACCCATTTGAGCCAAACATAATTGCTTGCATCCCATAAAAAATCTAATTGAGAACAAATGAACAAATTCTTTTAAATATAGTTTACAGTTGCTAGAAACACAACAAACCTTGAATTAGGAGGGGGGGGGGGGGGGTTCAATATTAATCCTTCAAATGTTGAAGAAAACAACACGAAAACTGGAGATACAATTGGATCAATTGGATATAACAGATGAGAAAAAAACCATGGATATATAATAGATGGATGTATTATAGTAAAGGTTTGATGTAATTTTTTCGCTGGGGTGTTATGCAGTACGTTAGACATTGGACCCTGGGACTTACAATTTGTCTTTGGTTTTCGTAAAGTTAATAGATGTCAAAGGAGTATAGAAAAACATTGCAAGTCTTTAAAACTTGATAAGATTTTGCCTCCTTCTTCGAATTATAAAAGTTGTTGGAGATACTAAAGATTTAAACAACCTTGCTGATATTTAATATTTTGAATTTTAATCAAATTTCTCAATATCTTGGTTTATTCTTAAGGTACAAAAACGGCAGACCACATTTTGGAATTTGAAAACAAGGCGCCTTTGATGCTACCTACTCTTTGAAGAAAATGCTATGATCACAAGATTTTAGCTACAATATCTCATTTCTGATTACTCCAGGGCCCACTATCTACCAAAGTTCTTCTCTAATTTGGACCCTGAACTTCACTTCAAACTTTTTTAAAAGTACAAATTATTTTTATAGAATGAACAGTAGCCCGAATAAAAATTTGTTATAGTAAAACCTAAAATTTGCTAGGGAGAGGTCTTAGAAATTTCCTAAAAAATATCTAGGGTCCACTGAGATATAACAGCTGCTTGCCGTGAAAAAAACCTAAGAGGTTTTCAATTAAAAAAAACTTAAAGAACTTAAACTTTGCATGTTTATATATTTACTGTTGTTAGGGCCTTTCTACTTCTTAACATAGTTTAGCCCTTAGGGTTTTTAATCGATGCATTTTAGTTCTAAGTTTCCCAAAATGTATCCTCAGCTGCCCGTATTATACATTCTGGCAAAAGGAATACAATAGAACACTATAGAGAAACTAATTAAACTTCAGGTTGAAAAATATTTTTTAAAACTTGGTAGTCGAAAGTGCAAACATATTTGAATTGCGGTAGAACTTTTAGATATTGCAGTAACATTAGAATAATATGACATTTACATAAAGGTAAGTAGACATTTATAATAGCGGAATACATTTATCTGTTTTATATATTATATGTAATGTATACCTGAATGTACTTTCTTGTTCTCTGATTGGTTCTCGGTTGAGGTCGGCGGTACAAGCTGCAGCAGCGGCAACACAAGGATGGGAGAGGTGGGAGCCTCGTCGCTCAGGGGGAGGTGGGGCAGTGGCGCCCCTCTTTTCGGGAAGTTTAGCGGATTTTTGTGGAATTTGTTTCCTAGATTTCTGGTTAAGATCAATAGCAGGGGCTCCCTCTCCCGCCTGTCTTGGACCTAATGCAGGCTTTACATTGGATTTATTGGCAAACTCTGCAATTTTAGAAACCGGGTTTGATGTCTTGGTTTTGGAAGGCATTCCAAACTCAATGCAGGCTTGGAGGATATCTGTACTTTCTGCAGAACAAACGGAATCGTCGGAACCTCCGCCACTTTCATTTAAAATAGTTTCAACAGGCTTCATTCGATGTGGAAGTTTTGATTGTTTAGACTTTTCACTCTTAGAATTTGGCATTCCGGAGCTAATTATCTGGTCCAACAAACTTTCCGAGTCCGCATAGATATCTTCCTCCTCAGAGGGAATTGATTCGTCATGCCTATTCTCTGGCCAAGCTGTCTTTACCTTCTCTCCAGAGTTTCTCCTCGCCACTCCTTCCTCCTCCTCCTCGTCCAGACAAAGCCCAGAAAGGCTTGTTCTAGTGGAGAAGTTAGCAGGAGTTCCCTCCTCATTAAAAGCGTGAACTTCGTCAGCAAACATGGGTTTACCCATTTTTGGAGCTAAAGGAGGTTTAGTGTTCTTGTTAGGTCGGGGAGGAGCAGTATGCATTCTCCGTGGAGAACTCGGCATTGTTTGGCTAGGTGAGTCTGGGAGGTCTGATGGGGAAACTCGCCCTGATGTGGCGCGACTAAAGTCGCAAGATGAGTATCCGTCAGGAATGGATTGTTGGTCGAAGCTATCCAGACTGGCAACAGAGCTGGCCCGACTAAACAGTAAAGGAGTATCATTTGCATTGGAGTTGTCTCCGCCACGGAAAGTCACAGTCTTGTGATCCTTTGGTGGGGGCGGAGTATGGCCTCTATCCTTCTCTGAGGATCCTTCTGTTTCCTGCATCCCCTTCTCCTCTCCATTCTCAGGGATAGCAGAGAGTTTAGTTCCTTCCCCAACTCCATCCACCTCTCCAGACTCCAGAGAACTCAAGGATTCAGCCCTTGAGAACGTTATTGGAGTTCCTTCAACGGCATACGCTGTTGTAGAGTCTCCCTGCTTCTCAGTCTCCTCTTCCTCTTCTTCCTCCTCAAGGATAGCGGGCTCTCTTAGATCTGACATAGATGTTGCTGTAGAAAATACATAAGGAGTATCCATCGGAGTTCCCTCTGTGTAGTAGGTTTTTACAGAATCATCGAAAAGTTGTTCTGATTTGTCCCCGGCTTTATTGGCAATTAAATCCAAATCCTCGGATTCCTGAAACCTTAAACTGTAATCTGTAGGTTTCTCTTCACAAAGTTCTGCTTCATCTGTAAATGCAGGTTTCTTCTTGGATAAATCAAGTGGAATGCTGCCAGGGGAGAGAACTGTGACGGCAAGGTTTAGCTTGGTAGGAGACATCACTCTTTCACCGTCACTTTCTACATAGTTATCTCGGAGCGGGGAACCTTGTCTTGGGTTGGGATCACTAAACTGTTTCATGTAACTCTTGTAGTTCCCGTCAAACCTTCCTTCAGCAGAGAGTCCTCCCTTGAACCCTCCTCCTTCTCCTCGTTTAGGCAGGGGTGGAGGGGAGTCTGAAGTGTACCCGGATTGTTTATCACTGTGTCTAGAGTTATCTGTGTTGTATCCAGACCTTGTGAGGTTTGAGAACGCAGCTCCGGAGAAAAAAACTTTCTCTCCTTTCCGTTCAGGCGAGGCCGAGCTCCGGTCCCGACCCTCACTATAGTGGGAGGTTACACTAGGGACAGAACTCACGCTGTTCCTAGAGTCAGATCTAGGAACAGAAACTTGTCTCTCCTCCGTCTCACTTCCGGACTCGTCCGAGTTCCCGGGGGAATCTCGTCCCTCTTCAACGTCTCGTCCGCCGCAATCGGAAAGTTTCTCGTCCAGGTCGGCTACAAGATTCTTGACCTTTCTTGCGGTCAGCTGGCCCGGAACACCGCTTACCATCATGAACAATCCTGTAATTAAAAAAAAGGATTAAAATAATGGCGATGAAAGAGAACACAAGATTATAATCTTAGGAGTAAATAAAACATTAACACTAGAAAGAAAATTAAGTGTTCTGGTTAATTGCTGTCTAAATTTTCCTCTCCTTTCATTGGATAACCATTACTTTTATAGTCTTCAATTCCCTTTTGTATTCCCTTTTCTATGCTCCTTTCTTCAGTGCTTAGGATCTGGATCCGCAAAAATATGCGGATCCGAATCCAAGGGACAAAGTACCATTAAAACCTGATAATAATTCATGTTTTGATCTCAAAACACAATGCTCAACTGTTTACTAATGACCGATAAAAAAAATTTCATAACCTCTGAATGTTTTAGCATAAAAAATTAGCAAAAAAAGAAAGAAATCATTTGAACATTTTCATATGTTCGAAAAATCTGTAAATTTTAAGGAAATGTTCATGACCTATACTGCTGAATATGAACCATCAGGTTTCAAGTCAAAACACTGAAATTTTTTCTTTGGAATATATTTATATGCAGTCTACTGAGTTATTATCTTAGGTTTCCGGATTTTGAGGAAATCCATTTTTAATAAATTGTTGAAATCAAGTGCACTTTTTTAGATCTAAAATAAAACGAAACTTTAGTTTCATGGCTTAAATAAGCTTCTTCTGTGTTTTTTTGCGACCCGTTTGTGGCAGGATCCCAAAATTTGTGAATTTTCCTTAACAGTCCTAAGAAATGTTTTAGCAAAAAACCAAAGCTGTATGACTGCCTAAGTACTGCATAAAAGAGTCTTTTTGAAGCGAAATCAGTAAAAATAACACCAAAAAACTTTTTCATGTCTTTGATTTTTTTCTACAATATGTCTTTTGGCTGCTCAAGAAAAGATACAAAATTTGGGGAACCCTGCCAATTACGGTTAAAAACATATCTTTAAAAAAGACGCAAGAAGCAGATCAATGGTTAATTTTCAGCAGTGTGGTTCTGAATCCGGATCCGCATCAAAATGAAAAGGATCCTGAGCACTGCAGTTTTCCTTTAGGACTTAATTTTTTACAAGTAAACCCGGCTGCACTTTTCTGTAACCATGGTCTTAGTTTTTTTACAAGTAAACCCGGCTGCACTTTTCTTTAACCATGGTCTTAGTTTTGTACAAGTAAACCCGGCTGCACTTTTCTTTAACCATGGTCTTAGTTTTTCACAAGTAAACCCGGCTGCACTTTTCTTTAACCATGGTCTCAGTTTTTTACAAGTAAACCCGGCTGCACTTTTCTTTAACAATGGTCTTAGTTTTTTACAAGTAAACCAGGCTGCACTTTTCTTTAACCATGGTCTCAGTTTTTTACAAGTAAACCCGGCTGCACTTTTCTTTAACCATGGTCTTAGTTTTTTCACAATATTTTGTCTTTTCTCTCTGATCTTTCAGACATAATGTGAAATACAGAGGATCTAAGTTGATTCCCTAAATGAGGAGAGAACTTAGATAAAATCCAAACAGTTCTCAAGTAGCACTTTAGAGTAGGAAACCAGCAAAGAGGATTAACTTGTTCAACAACTAAATGAACAGTATGATTTGTTACTAAACTAAAGTTTGGAAAAGAACAGAAAGTACAAATAAAACTCAGGTTTGAGGAATATTACAATAAGGAAAAATGATTTTCAAATAATCCAGTACAAAGTGTGTAATAATAAACCGTGTATTCATTGTAAGAGATGGTGATAGTTTTGTATGTTTTAAGGTATTTTAGAAATACTAAAGAATCTGAGATGTTTATCTTATTGAAAAATGCATTTTTTACTGAAATATAAACAAAACGATTTAGTCAATCATTTTTTGTTTTGGCCTTATCTTTAATGAAAAATAAAAACTTTGCACATAGTAACAATCTCGATGATTTTAGAGTTGAACCTCTAAAAAGTAAAAAAAAAAAATCCCAATCTCTACTGACTGTACCTGTTGGTCTGGCTGTGTAAAGATTCTTGAGTGCAGCAAGACTACATGTAGAGATGGTTTTATGTTTAGAATTAGTCAGAGATTGGAGCATAGGAACTGCTCCTAGCTCCCAGAGTTTCTCCTGGTCTTCCTTATTCCTGGCGGAGAAGTTCCATAAGGTCCCGCAAGCATTGGAGACAATGGTGAGGGAAGGGGAACGGAGTTGGGAGAGAAGGAGGGAGAGACATTCCTCCTCTCGGAGAATTTTTCTAAAATATTATTTATTAAAACTGAAAAATATAACACCAATATTTTTGAACTGTTAGTTACCTAGTTACCTAAACGAAATCTTAACTTAATTTCAAGTACTTACAGGGTGGCTTATCTGATTCACAACGCGCGGTAAGAATGAGATTTGCTTTTTTCTAGCTGAAATGAATTACTTTCAATTGTGGTTCTATTCAAAAATCCCAAAACTAATCAAAAAATAAAATTGTAAGAATTTTAAAATATAAAAACAAACCAACTCTTCCTCATTGTAAGATAAAGGTAATGAGGATACCGTTGTGAATTGGACATGTAATCCTATAAAAAGATCAATAGAAATTACGTCTACATTCTCTTTAAGTAATACATTCATATCTAGTTATCCTATGTGTGAAGTAATACATTCATATCTAGTTATCCTATGTGTGAAGTAATAAATTCATATCTAGTTATCCTATGTGTGAAGTAATAAATTCATATCTAGTTATCCTATGTGTGAAGTAATAAATTCATATCTAGTTATCCTATGTGTGAAGTAATAAATTCATATCTAGTTATCCTATGTGTGAAGTAATAAATTCATATCTAGTTATCCTATGTGTGAAGTAATAAATTCATATCTAGTTATCCTATGTGTGAAGTAATACATTCATATCTAGTTATCCTATGTGTGAAGTAATACATTCATATCTAGTTATCCTTTGTGTGAAGTACTGTTAACCTAGGATAAATCAATCAAGATAAAGAGGATTCTAAACAAGCAGACTCAGTATTCAAACCAGGCATAAGCCATCAAATAGAATACATCTAATGCCAGGAAGGGGGGGGGGAATATCTGATATTATAATTTTGAAAAAGAATTAAAAAAAGTTTATGCCCAATTTTGACTTTCCTCCATTTGTCCCGAAAATTTTTCCAAAACGGTACTGTACGCAATTTTAATCCTAACCGGTACTGTACGCAATTTTAATCCCAAACGGTACTGTACGCAATTTTAAGTGATATGTCCGATTTAAACTAAAAACCCCAATTAGAGAAATTGTTGGTAGAAGTCACTTTTTATGCTTAAAAAAACAACGATACCTTAGATTTTATGATTTTTTAAATCATAAAACGGTTTACAGGGGATTAATGTATTTTTTTTAAATTGTTGTTTAGGTTATAGACAGCACGTCTATGAGTTAAACAACTTCTTACAACTCTATCTAGGCAAACCCTTTGGTGAGTTTCCCCCCTTTAACCTTGATCCAGATCTAGGTGATTGGGCTAACCTCACTCTCCTTCCCCAGGTAAGCGTGTTCATGAAGGGTCACTTTAAATAGCAATAACAGTCCCTTTAACGTTAAGGCCTACATGAGGTTGAAATATGGGTTTACCCTTGCAGGGCAATAAAGTTGAATAAGAAAAGAAGAATATGCGCTAGGATGGATAATGGTCAGGTATAGAAGCAGTTAATCTTATGTTCTTGTCCTTGCAGTAGACCAGGGACCGATATAGAACACCATTTATAACACCCGTGTGTAGAGGTGGGAATGTAGTATCTCATTTCTTTTTTTCGTGACCTTGTCTTAATCAAAATAATCCTTTTCCATTTACTCTGTAGACTGGAGTAAATAGAAAAGGGATCAATAAATACAAAAAACAAAAATACTCCTCCTACAATTTACATAATTCATCCACGCTTTAATAACAAAAAATGTAGATGATCTTTAAAAATCGAATTTAAAAAAAAAATTTATTAGATATTGACAATTGACCAACATTTAAGTGATTTTAGGTAAAACAAATGAAAAAAATATATCTTCAGAGGCCAAATTTAAAGAATTTGAGCCGCGGCTTAAATTTCAGCCACGGCTCAAATATGGTTGGTTCCTCTTAAAATCGTATTCATTGTTTTAAAATTTAAGCCGGCGCTTAATTGAAACCGGTTTTGGCGGATTTAAGACGCGGCTCAAATTCATTAAATTAGGACACAGAGTATTTAACTGGATTTCATTCAAAGCAATTCTGTTTTCACTTAAACAAATTGAAAATACAACATAATAATAATAATTAATACCAATTAATTAATTTACCAGAAAACAAGATTATTTGAGAAAAGGAAATTTACAGAAAATTTACAAAAATATTATTATTTTCAACAATAAAGAATGAATTAATAATAAGAAATAGTCTTAAGGATCATTTTTTCTCAGTAAAAATCTATTTATTCAAATATATTTGCGAAAACATGAAACTTCTGGAAAAAGTTTTCTCCAAGGTTCAAGCAAAAAATGAAAAAAAAATAGAAAGGATAAAACTGAATCTTGTTGTATGATATAGAGTGAGAATGTTCTGATAAAATGAACGATGATGTATCACTAGTTGGCCTGGGTTCAGGAAGGTTGTTTGTATTGGATTGCCAGAGTTCAAGGTTCAACCAAATCAAACATAATATGTTAAAAGAAAATTTATTCTCAAAAACTAAATAAAATTCTACCTTTTGAGCAATTTATTCATGCAATCATGCTTGCAATTTTTAAAAACTTTAAAATATTTGTTGAGAGGTTGCAATGTATACCTGTATTCCTCTCCTTGCTGGGAAGTTGCAATGTAAGAGCTAATATTTCTTAGTATTCCTCCGCCGTTCTCTATTATAGCTGTGCTTCTAAAACATGACAAATTATAGTTTAAGCCTGTTTGAAGAGAATATTCATATCTTCATACAAAAATGAAATTTTTGCAAAATTTACTACTATAAACTGTGTAAAATTATTAAAAAGTCGGATTAAGTTTAAAAAGGAAAGAAAAAGCATAAAATTATAAATTCAAAACATGGCGGATGGTTTCACGAACAATGCCGCGTAAATTTAGAAGGGTTGGCGGCATTCAAATTCTGCAAGTTAACTTTCGCAATGCAGAAGTTCTCCTCAGTTTTAGGGGGAGCTTGACCTTCAAACCAGTTCAAGTGGGGGAGGGGATAATGAATGAACTGTCTAATCTATATCTTCATTACATATTTGCGTCTTGTATCTTATTTTACCCAAAAACGGAAAAGTGGTGTGAACAAAATAAAAAAATAAAACGTAAAAAGAAGAAAATTTAAAAGTAAATGTTTACAAGTTTGATCTGTAAATTTCATGCAGAAGTACATCAGACAAATATCTATCTAAGAAATGAACAATTCATCGGAATTATCAATTTTACCAAATATGTTTGATTGCAGTATATACTGCTATTTTTCATTATTTAAAAAGAGTGACCGGCTATGTAAGGAATTGAACTGAGTATGCAGTGTTGTCGAAAACTTCTTTAGGATTCATTTGAGACATATTTCACTTTATAAAGATCTGTAAATCCTGAGTTTGAGAGCAAATTCGACCTTCAAAACTCCTGATTTGGGGGTGGATACGCTTTCAGAATTAGTTTTTTTTAAATTATTAAATAACAACAACGAAAAATAAAGTAAAAATTATACAGTAATCTAATTAGATGGCTAGGAACATATTTCACAAAAGAAATTTGTCAATAAATCAATGCTAAAATCGATAATTTCGTTTTCATTATTATATTGAATTTTTAATTTTCTTTGAATTTATTCGCAGATTTCTTCAAATTCTTTATATGTCGTCTTTTCAATAATAGTTATAGAGAATCTGCGAACATCTTTGTGAATAACGAGAAACTAGAATAATGAGATAATAGAAACTAATAATTGAACATGATTACTTATTTTCGATGATAAGATTAATTTTTATTTTCTCAAAATGTTCCTAAACATGACGTCTGTAGTTTATTGTAGAATATTTTTACATTTTATGTCGTCGTTAATTAATAATCTAAAAAAAAACTAATTCTGAAAACGTAACCACCCCCAAATCAGGATTTACAGACTTTTAAAAAGTTTAATATTTCTCAAATGAATCCTAAAGAAGTTTTCCACAACACTGCGTCCTCAGGTCAACTACCTTACATAGCCGGTCACTCCCTTTAATGTTTACATCCCTCAATATGTAAACGTCATATAAACTGCTTAGTGGTGAGTTAAATTCGGACATGAACCATACTCCCAATTTAGATCTAAAAACCCGAAAAATATTTATCTGTATAGAACTGCAGTGTATGTATGTAAGATTGTATGTAGCTCAAACCCACGCCCATCCCATAGTTGCGCCACTGAAGAAAGCCTATTGGTAATTTGGTATTTCTTCCATCTTTACCTTTTTTCTCTAGGACTAGGCTTAATAAAGAAAGGGAAACGCGAAAATTGCAGTCCCAAAATATGGTTGTCCCATTCCTTCATTAATTTGTTGTTTTTTTTTTGGGGGGGGGGACTGATTTTTGGATTTTGACGGTTAGGAAAAAACAGAAAAATTTGACATGAAAAGTCCGCCGGGCGGAAAGTTTTTATTTGCCGTTTTATATCTTCAATACTTTTTACCCAAAAACTCATTTTTTAAACAATTCAGCGCGACTAAAACCCTACAAAATTGGACCAAAAAAAGATTCTCAAACTGCGGGGAATGATTTTCAAGTAAAATTTATCAGGGACTCAAAAGCGGGACACTTTGAGTCCCCTATTTTTAGTTATAAGATAACCCCTACCTAGATCTAAGGAACTGGACCAGGAGAACCAGAGAACCAGGAGTAGAACAAACCTCACTTTTATTCTTCCTACAGTGAGCAGATAGGTTCCACAGGGCTGATAATATAACCTGAAACATTATGTTTACTAGTACCTGGCAAACTTGAAAATTATGCAAAATATTCCCATCTGTATTCTCTGACAAAATGGTGTGCAAATAATGACCAAACAGGTTGCAACATGCATATTGCTATATTAAGCAGGTTATTTGCGATAAAAATATACAAACAGTTTTGCAAAAATATTTGTAAAATGTTTTTCCTTACAACATTGAAAAATGAGGGTCCAGTCCAGTTGAATATTTTACTCAATATACAATTTACTGTTTTGCGACTGTTTTTACATCTCTGACGCAGTAATTTTGAGAAAATATATTCTATTTTCTAATATTGGATTCAACAGAGTATTGGACCTTGTCAAAGATAAGAGAAGAGTTTGATAACCAATATTTAAACTTGAACTAATTCTTCTTCATTGCTCAATGCTCAATGATAAACCCATCTCTAATATTAAATACCACTTTAACAATTTATAACATTAGCAATGGCGCATACAAGGGTAAAAGGACAAGAAAGAAACTCTCCCTCCCTTACAATACAAATATTTGTCATTAACTGACAAATGTCAAAGTTACTTGTACGTGTGTCATCAAAAAAATATTGTTCCATTTTTGAAGGTTTAATATTTTGTTATAAATTATCACTTTGTACAGAATTGCATATTACCCATTCAAGNGGGGCGGGGTTTGCAGATAACTCAAGACAACACAGTTAAATAAAGTGAACAATGGTAAACAGATAAGTAGAATGTTGGAAAAATGACTATCTGCATTTATCAATTACTAGTCGCTTAAAAATTGTTATTTGTAAAAAATATCAAAATAAAAAATACCCAATTTGTTAAGAATTAATCACTTTAAAGGTGAACAATTCCTTCAAACCAACCTTTAATGTTGGTTCTTCTCGTCCTGGTTCTACAGCAAGTCCTTCAGAAGTTTCCACAAGACACCGCTCAGCAACTGTCATGGCGGCTCCCATCAGAATACGCACCACGCCGCATTCAGACAATACAGACTAATATGAAAATTTGTAAATAGAATTAATTAATTAACAATTAATAACTTAACCTTTATCCATGACAACAAGATGAAAACAGGTTACTTGCCAAAAACTCTGTATAATTGATACATATGATACTGGACAATTTTGATAGTTCTTACTTTCACAGGAACAAATAGCTATATATATACATTTACGTATATATAAGTTTATTATCAAAAGTCTACGCCATCACCGTGTAAACATAAGGGTGACCAAATTAGAGTCTAAGGCAAGTCTTAAGTTCATTTGTAATTTTCTAGGTTCTCTATATCTTTGCCACCTAATTGTGAAAACTGTAACTAATTAATAATGAAGAATATTTACTGTATGAAATCATTGAAATATCAATAAGTCAACGACATCAGGTTACAAAAAATGAAATAATTAGAAAATTAACTTAGGCATGTGTTTAGTTACTTTATAATTTTCTAGTACATATATATTTGCATCTTGATGGCAACCTTTGATGACAAATATTTGACTTTTGATATAACAGAATATATACAGTATGACATATCAGAATGTCTAAGACATTAGATTACAAAAAATGTAAGGATTAGAAGATCAATGTAATTCATGTGTTAAGGTTCTTTTGTAATTTTCTACTACGTAAATATTTGCAACCTAATTGTGTAAATGATTCAAACTTGATCGATCATAGTTTAAACAATAATTTTAACAAAATAGATATTGAACAAAAGAAAAGAAACTTTTGAGTTTTAGGCGAGTAATCATTTCCTATTTAAAAAATAACTTACTTTTGATGATTTATCCGCCTTCCATGCTAGATTCCGGAATAGGTGAGCTGTTGCTTTTCGTAGATTTTCCCACTGGCTTTCCAGCTGTCCCACTAGAATATCCACCAGTCCGGGGAACTAAGGTTAAAATAAGATTGATTTACAAAATTATTTTATATTAGAGACATTTTTACCAGCTGTCACAATTAGGGAACACAATTTATCTTAGTTAAAAATATATAATTTCTGGAATCACTCTCAGCAGTGGTAGTTTAAAATTTTGCAGCTTTTGCAAAAATTAAACAATTTTTTTGCGTTTATTAAAAAAATGATTATTATGAAAAATGAACATGAAAATCCAATTCAATATTTCAATTGAAGATCTGATTATTCGCCACATATCTTAATTTTATAATCCCAAAATCTTTGCAACTTGATGGTGTATACCTTCATTATCTCAAAATTTTGCTTGTTACTACTCACATAATCAACATTTTGAAAAATCAAAAGTTTAGGGCATCAGGTTGCAAAAATGTATGGATTAGCAAATAAGAGATTGCGACGAGTAATTTGTTTCTTTGATTTGCACATTTTCTATCTTTGAACAGGATTTAGATGAGACTGCAGACGTAGTTTCAATGATCCTCTAATTGTCTTGTGGCATGTCTGATTCACAACGGTACCCTTTCAAACTTTATCAGAGCATTAATATAGTGTTGTATTATATATAGTCTTTGCAGCATAAATCCGCAAGTCACTTTTACAGAGAATGAGAGAACTTACAATTGAAAAAACTAAATTTTCAGGTAGTAAAAATAAGGATGTCTTATTCATCCTTTATCAGACAAAGCTTTAAAGGGTATCACCATGAATCTAAATTATAGGGTCATTTGAAACAACGTGGACAGTCCCTTTAAGTAAGTCTATTTCTAACCTGACACAAGTATGACTTGATCCCCGTATTCCCGAAGGTAAGGTTGGTAAGAGCTACAACTGCATATCTTCTCACTTCACGACACACAGAGTGGGTGCTAGGATGTAATCCGTGCTCAACCTGGAATATTCAACTTATGTACAGTGTACACACAAATAAACGGGTTAGATTTCTGAGCCAGGAATATAAAGATAAACACAGATACTTGAAATATCCAATTTGATAAGTCAAAAAAAAAATTAGTAGAAAATTTTGGAACATACATTTCAATTTTTAGACATAGACAGTTAAAAGTAAAAGAATTTGAAAACATTTAACTACGTAATATAACTAAAACACACTGACTCTAAAAGAATGACCCTGATGTGTGATAAACAAATGTATACTAAAGCTTTATGTAAGGAGTAAGAATACAATAGAATAGAATTTGGAAAATCTAATCCAATATTAGTTGAAGGGCAAAAACTTGTCTAGGTCTACACTACAAAATACACAGATAGGATAAAATAGGTAGTTAATTTAGTTGTTTTTGTTTTACATAATAACTTCAAACGAATAATAGATAGAAGAATATCAGAAGTCATTGTTTTAGTTAACTTCTAACCGTATCATAGACAGAATACCAGTATAGGTCGTTGTTCTATTTACATCTTTTCTTGGTTCTCTTCAACTTTAAATTAGTCTTTCTTTCAAAAATTATTAAGTATATGATTTAAAGACCATATAACAAAATTCAACCTTCAAATCCGAGTTTAAGGTCTTCTGTAAACTTTGTCAGCACTTAGATTTAAAAATAAGGCAAGGACTAAGGACATGGCAAATTGACCACCTGGCGATTATTGGATATTTGATCCATAAAATAAATTTAAAGAACCAGGAATGCAATGAATTTTATAATACTTCTAAACAGAAGAGGATGAAAAAGTTTATTTTTTTAAAAACTTTAACTGTCAAAACTTTTTTAAGTTAGAGAGCATTCTACTTCAGTATGCTTGATCGTTGGTTGAATTTTTGCAAGAAAGGAAATATATAAGAATCGTAAGATTTAGGGGGGGAGGGTGTAATGAGCTTAAATTTTAGAAATATCAATTACAATTTTTAACCACTGCCTCCTCTTTCAGTTTTAATTGACCCGAGCTGTATTGTTATGTTCAAAGAATATTTAATAGGATTAAAATTCTACATTTCATTTGCGCAACAGATTATAAAATTGCAGATTTTTTTTGTCAACTCAGCAATTCTGTTTCCTGAATTTAATCCAAACACTTCCATAATTTAGAACAGATTCTATTTTATTTTCATTCGATTCCAGATCTTAAGACACTGGTTTAATACCTGGATCCGGATCCTAAACACTGGTTTTCTACTTTGATACTGTTCACTAGATTGATACCTGGATCCGGATCCTTAATAAAGGTTTGATACCTGGCCGGATCCGGATCCTTAACAAAGATTTACTAACTGTATACCAATTCATGATTTTATATACTGGTAATGATACTGGGTTCAGACCTTAAACACCGGTTGTCTACCTAGATCCGGATCAACACCAGATTTCTACCTGGATCCAGACCTTCGACACTGATTTTTTACCTGGATCCGGATCTTAAAGACTGGTTTACTACCTGGATCCGGATCTTTAACACTGGGTTTCTACCTGGAACCGGATAACTGTTTGATATCTAAACCCGGTTTCTAAAGACTGGTTTAAGAATCAGGAGCTAATGCACCGGAGGAATACAAAGTGAAATCAAAAATCTGCAAGAGTGGTTTGGAATCCGAGTTCATCAAACAAAAGTAAATTTCATTCCAGAATATTTAAGCCCCAACTTACTCTCAGGACCGGGGTATTTCCTAAACCCCCTCCCCCGTACTCAAATTTTATTCGACATTTTATTATTATTTGATGTTATGACATGCATGTACAATGTACCCCTCTGAAAAAACTATATAGTTTAAAATCTTGAGTTTTCGGAAATAGACTTTTAATTAAATCAAGAACTGGAACAGGTGATAAGTTTTAAGTTCCTCTTGTTGAGTTCCCACAATTTTTCTAAGTGACATATATTTATCATTAAATGCAACAACAACGAAGAGCTAGAAATAATTCTTTTATTTTTCTACTAAAAATAATACCAAGAAAATTCTCAGAAAACGGAAGTACCCTCAATATAACCTTAACCTAATAAAGCTTATAGAGAAATAACAGGAAATATTATATTATAAAATAAGTGAAATCCGATCATCATTTCTATGTAGAGAGAGGGGATGGGGATTAGAAACAAATATTCAGCTCATCAAATTTATAAGTTTGCTGTTATGTTGAACAAAGCAATAATATAATACATAAATTAATGAAGTAGGAAAAGCTTGTGATTACCATTTTTGTTCACTTTAATTCTTTGAGAGGAAAAAAATTAAGACCTTTAAAAAATTCCAGCAAAGAGGGTTCCAAGTTTTGCATTTATATTAAACATTCAAGCTTTTATAAACTTCAGCAACTGTCTCAATAAAGTTCAGAAAGAAAACTATAAAAAGAAAATTGCACAGAAAGAACTGAATTGAGATAAACTCAAGCAATATGGAATTCTCATTTTTCATTTTTATAACTGTAAAGAATAATGTCCTTTTAGCAAAAATAAGACAATGTTTCAAAGATTTTTGTAAATTTTTATAAAAAATTCCGTACCTGGATAAGCTCTGCTAAAGCTGGTATACCCCCGAGGAGAAAAATCGGCTGCCGATGACTTTCGTCGAAACTACATCTTGTCAGGACAGCCATGCTTTCCTCTATGTTTATCACCTTAATATAAATTTTTACTATATAATAGTTCTTTATTTTGAAATAATTAGCTGGCACTTTATACTTGCGTGACAAGAAATAATTAGCTGGCACTTTATACTTGCGCGACAAGAAATTTTCCCAGTACAGAAAAGATATTTCCGCCACACCTCTGTTACAAATTAGAAAACAGTCCCTTTAAGTTGCTTCTTCTCACCCTTTCTTGCCTCTTCTTCTTTTCTAAGTTTTCAATTTAAATTTAGCAACTCGCAATTTGTTGTTTGTCTAACTGTTCTAACTTTTATGTTTTCTGAAAAAGCAGCGGCTAACTCTACAGGGATCCATTAACTTTCCCATATTTAGTCATTTTCAGCAAACAGTTTTCTAAATTAGAGTTGGGCATTCATTTTCTTCCCAATTTTAAATCATTCATAGTTTTTGGGGTTTTAGGAAATTCTACTAAAATAAAGTCTGAATCCGAAGAGGTATAAAATTAATTTTTCCTAAAAGCAAAAAAAATTTAAATTTTCAAAACATAAAAATACGATGCTCATCTCTATTTAGGATATAAATGATGCAGTTTAAAAGTTGAATAGAATATCCGATATCAAGAAGTGATGGCGGAGAAAAAATGCAATTTCATCCATCTAGGTAAGGTTCAGCTTAGAATAAAATTGGCAACCAGAACGGTGAGAGAAAGAAGCAAGTTCATAAAATATATTTTTATTTTAGAATCCAACAAGACAGCACTTTCTTCCCTCCGAGTTGTTTTATCCGATTAAAGCAACAAAGGCGGATTACTCGCTTCAAAGCAATCAAGAAAATGGACTCTTCACGTGAAACTTTTATGGTTCCTCGGAAACATGGTGAACTCATAAAAATTCATGGAATACCAAACACAACACACTCAATTCTCTTCTAGGCATTTATATTTAAGAGAGGAAAATTTAAACTAACATTTTGTTCTTATTAATTTAATCAAAAATTATTTTTATTGAGAGATGTAAAAAACTTCAATAGTTTTAAAATCAAAAAAATTTAAAATTTAATAACACCCAAAAACGCATCGAAAACTTTGGTTCAAATCATTTTTAAAATTTCCATCATTATACTTACTACAATAAAAGCGTTGATTAATTGGTATATCTTATTTAGTTAAAATTGATTTGTGGCTTACAATCGGCTGTAACATTTTGTGTTCAGATAGATTTTTGTTTTTTGGGAAATGAAAATATCCCCTCTCCCACTCTCTTAAAGTTTTTGTATAAATCTAATCCTACCTGTCCTGCTTGCCTGGCTTCTCCACTAAAATCCAGAAAGTGCTGACACGCATAAACCTGTTTACAAGGAACAGAATATCCCTCACCGATATTCCCGAAATCTAAAAAAGAAATTTAAAAAAACTTGGATCAGAGCTGAAAACTTTTGAATGGGATATCCTTAATCCTGATCGGATAATTAATCTGGAGATTAAAAATGAGTGGAGAACAAGCATTATTTAATCTCGAGATTAAGAAAAAGAGTGGATTAAGCATTAATCCCGATATCCACCATTCAAAAGTTCCCAGCTCAGATGAGATTTGAAAACTTTTAACCCAATTTGGAGTTTCCGGGACCGATTGCCAGATCATCAGAACTGCCGAGGAGGGTCGAGACAAATACTTAGAAATTCTATTACACTTTTTCTCATATCATGGAGCATGATACTGCTGTCAAAATAGTTCATCATTTACTAGCCTGGTCACACAGCTTTGACTGGAAATAAAAATTTTCTCTAAAAAATGTCAATTACACACTTTAGAAATTCCCAAACTAAATTTGAAATAGGAAAAGGCCAAATTTATGAGATAACAAACAGAGATTACTACTTTTTAATTTTTATATATAGATATAGATAGATAAATAGAGTTTGCTGCTATATGAATCATAAGACGTACATGTCGTGCAAGCCAATATTCTTTTGACCTTCATGTTTATTAAACCAAACCAAACTAAACCAAACCAAACCAAACCAAACCTCCCTCTCCCCTGGAGATGAAGAAATGTCTTGTAAAGTTAGTTTCTTGTTTGTGTAAGAATATAAAATGTTAAACCTGTAATCCAACATTTATCCCAGGGGGCAGTTCCACAAGGACATTTTAGAACAGGGGTGTAAAATTTCTTTTAAAAACATTACCCCCCCCTTTTTTGAAAATCATTTTTTACTCTCTCAGAAGTTGGGTATGTTTGCGCGGAGCGAATTTTTTTATTGGGTTTTATTCACTGTATAGAGAAAAATAAATGATTTTTGAGAAACACAATTAACTTTTGGGGTCAACAAAAGGATGATAAACCTCTAGATGTCAAATTTTTCATCCCCTCCCCCGCCCCGCTTGAATTTTCAAAAATATACACCCCTGTTTTAGAAGTATAAGAACAAGAAAATTGTTTAGAAAAACATAAATTTAATTTGATAAATTTGTCTTGCCTAACAAAGAAGAAAACATGTTGACAACTTTTCATCAAAACTAATCGTGAAACAGAAAGTTAAAAGATATTAACACATAAAATATTTTTGAAAATAAATGTAACAAAATCTCTTAATTTCCATCTTTAACCTTCCTCCGTCAATTCTAAATCTAATTAGCATAGTAATTAAATCTAATTAAGAATCAAGATGTATCAATTTCCATAATATTTAATTCTATCCCGGGCAAACTTTGTAGAAAATTATTAATTCGCCATTCGTTACAGAAATATTCATAATAGTTTCAACCAAAATTCTGTTAAATTTTGCAGGGCACACAAATACTTTTTTCATTACCCTAGTTGTATATTAATTAATTGAATTCCCTCAATATAGTTTTTTTTAAACAAAAATATTTCATTGTAATAAGGAATTATCGAAATATTTCTGAATTTTAGAATTTAATAGAAATTTTAAAAAGATTTCACAGAAATAATCAAAGTTGGATAAATATTTAAATTAAGTGATATGACATTCATGAATTAAGTTAAAATAAAATTCAATAAAAAAATCAATTATGACGAATAAATAAAAATGGGTGGACTTCAAATTGTTAAATAAAAAGAAAGAAAGAATAAAACATTTAAAATCTTGAAAAAAAAATCTGCATTAAACAGAGGGATGCTTATTCTACCCGACTGAATATAGAATTGAATCCTTTAAAGTTTCAAGCTAAAGAATTTCTTTAGAAGATTTTTAATCTATTCTTGAAATGGAATTAAGATTTTAATTAATAATGTTGGAATATGGAAATGTCATGGACACCCAATCTGTCACAGTGTTATAACCGGTAAAAGAAGATGGGGTGGAATTGTGATTGTCCGCACGATGCATTAAATTATGTAAGAAGACGAAGAATGCGGGATTTACGCTACGTCTTTGGACGTTTACAGCGCCTCCATTAAGCAACTATATCTTTACATTTTTATTTAGAAATATTTTATGGTGGTCAGCTGTAATCTTTCATTGTATCTAAATGCAGATCAAAGAGAATATATATTGCGGAGTAATATGTTATTGTTTACTGTACAGATTAAATACTAAATACTCTGTGTAAACCTGTTTGGATCTTTTAAACATTCATAAGAGGAAAATTAATAAAAGTTAAGTTAATTGCATTGTATTTATAATCAATCACAAAAATCACTGCAAACTCTTTGGGTTTTTACCCGCTTAGGTCCATGTTTCTTATACTCTATGTTTGATGCAGATTTCAGATGCTGTAATTAAGCAGAACTTTGAGCTGAGCTCCTTGTTAAGCTTATAATTGAGAAACTTGGCAGAGAAGATGTTTAAGTTTTACTTTTCAATCTGCATTTAATACAAATATTAACGCTTTTAAGTTAATATTTTGATTTTAATATGATTTGAATAGTCAAGAGCATTCCCAGACTCTTTAACACTTTGATTTATCTTTTTAGCGAAAATAAAAATGAAAATAAAGGGTGTAATAAATAACCAGCAGCTTTACTAGGATCTACTTTAAATTTATTCAAGGATTTATTTAATCGTTTATTGTCTAAAGTGAGACCCATACAACTGTAGAATAGAAGACGACAATTAGACTTAAGTTTTGAATTTAAATAGTTCAATAAAAATTAAACAGGCACATTTAACTCAAAAGTTGATTTATAGGCTGCTTGTAAAACTGCTTGCGTTGAAACAACATCAAGTACACATAAGATTGCTTACAATGTAGTCTTTTACCACAGTTTTATGAGTTTCACTGTAGATATATTCTAGGTTTGATATTACTACCTGCAACCATGAGATCCTGTTCTTGATACTTCTCTCCTCCTTCCACGACCTGTATGCTGACCCTCCTGCAACCTGCAACTTGAGCTGCTGCTCTACTATTACCTCCACCCCGTCCTTCTCCACCAGATAATATATCCCTAAAAATTAACAGAACAAAATAAATCACATAGCACAAAAGCCAAAAATTATTATCAAAGAGGAATAAAACTAAATATTCATGTAATTGTTTATAAATATACATATACAATAAACAGGGTTACCCACAAAGGATGAGACTTCAGTGATGACTGTACGAAATACCGTCATACCATCTGTTTCCTAGTATTCATGTTTCCTTGCAGCTGCTAAAATGTTTATTACTGTTGAAAATCATTAAACATACCTTTTAAAGACAAAATTTAAGACAGAAGCGTTAATTTAATCTCAAGATTTTATGGGTTCTCAGTCTCATTCTTTGTGGGTAATACTGTACATACTAGGCCTAGCTTGCCCATTTTTACCTGGAGTATTCCTTATAAAGCCAACCTACTCAAATTATAATTTTTAAACCAGGTAACAAACATTCCGATGGTTCTATTGAGTTTCCCAGTCAAAGTTTGAGGCAAATCGGTCCAGGGGGAAATGAGTTATGATCGGACATACAAACAAACAGAGATTACTACTTTATATATATAGATATTACCTGAGAAGATCACAATACTGTCGTAGAATCTCCAACAGAGATTACTACTTTATACATATATAGATATTACCTCAGAAGATCACAATACTGTCGTAGAATCTCCAACAGCTTTAGAACCTTAGCTTCCCGTTTACAATGTTTGTCTGTTGGATGCGCATGCACTATATTGTGAAGGCAGCGCGCAGCACGTGCGCGTACATGCCGCGAGGGTCGAGGAAGGTTTGGGTTGAGATGATCTAGGTGCAGGAGCTGAACTAGGAGAGGGATACATCTGCTGGATCTCATCATATCACAGTTGGTCGGGCTGGAGGACATTGCCAGTAGGGTTTTAGACATCTTCTCAACATCTGTACACCCTGCAGTACAGTACAGTTTAAACAAGTATATAGTGCAGTACAGTACAGCTTCAACAAGCATGCATATATACAGACAGTACAGTACAGTACAGTCAGTAAAGATTAAACAAGTATCCAGTTCCGTAAAGAATAGTGTATACACATATACAGACACCATGCAGTACAGTACTGTTTGAACAAGTATACCGTACAGCACAGTTTCAAGAAGTATACATATATACAGACACGCTGCAGTACATTACAGTTTAACAAGTATACATATAAACAGAACACTGCAGTACAGTACAGTTTAAACAAGTTTACCGTACAATGTAGTTTAGAAAAGTAAACAGAGTGTCCCATCAAAATGTGGAACATAAAACACAGGAAATAACAGTTTACACATCTACCCGTCTCATTTAAAAAGATGATTTTCAAGTTAATTGGAAAACAACATCAAATACATATAAAATTCCGTAAATATTGTAGTCAGGGGTTCCCTTGTACATAAACATATATTTAATATCATAAACTACCGCACAATTTAAGTCATATTTTTGTACATTTCTATTTTGCTTTACAGCTAAGTGAAAAAAAACATTTGAAGATTTTCATTGCGTAAAAGAACATTGTTAAATCAAAACAAATTAAGTTCAGAATATTGCAATACAATATTAAGAAAATAAAAAAACAGTAGTTTGAGGAATAATTTGCTTTTATTAGAAAAGTTTAACTATATCTTTCCCATTATTCAGGCAGTGCATACACTTTGTACATCAAGACAGTAAAAGTACAATAGAATGCAATTAAATACAATTTACTGCTTAAATCTACAAAACAAGAAAAATACAATAAACGAAGGAACCTGAAAAGTATGAAAATGTAAATAAAAATCTTATTTAATGATCATTTGAACATGTCAAAACAATAAGCTGATTGTGAGAGAAGCACTGTTTCATGACTGATTTCTTTAAAAAAATCTCCGAATCTAAAAAGATAACTTTAGATAAACTTATGATTAAGGTGAAATTCTGCATTAGCTAAGAATCTTACTTCAAGCTCTTAATTCTTCAATCCCAATATCTTTGCAACCTGGTGGTGCTTTGTCAAAGGTATTGTTAACCCTACCTAGAAGGGCCATGAGAGAGTTTGAATCCTGGGCATCTATTCCCCCCCTCTCCCCTACACTGTGCACACTACTAGTGAAACTAATCACACTAGTAGTATCTTCACCTAAAATAAAGAATTTATTAGCAGCGATCAATAAGAATGTCGTCTTTCTTTCCAACCTACACTCTACAGTCTACAAAGGCCATAGCTTAAAATTAAGTTAAAAATAAATTTATTTTTAAATAAAAAATCAAAGAAAAACTGATTTTTTTCTATTTCAGACTAAAACTAATTTGGACGGTACAACTGCAGTTGTGTTTTAGGTTCCTTAGAAAATATTTTTACAATTAAATAGTTGGAAGAGAAGAATGAATAAAAAATAAGATAAATGTTGGTTACTTAAACTTAAACGAACTTTATCATCCTGACTTTTATTTTTCAACTCTCAACAAATGATAAGAGAACAAACTTGTTGAAACTTTCAAGACTTACTTCAATGCAGAATCTACAAAAAAAGAAAAACGTTCACTTTTTAACAACAAAGATTTTTTTTGAGTTTCCTTATTTTAGTTGACTATTAAAACTTTAGGTCTACGTTTTAAAAATCTTTTAACATTAGGTTTTTTACCAAGAAAGAAATATTAAGATTATTGATAACCAACAGTAAACAAAGTACAAAGTAACACTGAGAACAATATTATTCCAAACTGGCAAACACGATTAAGACAAACAAGAAAAAACTGAAAACATTGTGATCGAAAAAGCAACGCCATGAAAAATAGATATTGATCGACTTTCACGTAACAGCATATAAAATATTATAACATGGGGATGGTGAATTTGTGAGATTTCCCCCCGTCTTAACCTCTTGATGTTCCATTCCATTTTACCTCAAAAGTTTTGACTAAATCCTTTAATCGGCTTTGCTCTGTTTACAAAATACATGCTGTTATTGTTTCTTTCCAAACATGTTTATAAACGAATATTGAATCCCGATGTTTCGTTGTGAGATCCTTAAAAAGAGAATTTCCATCCAAGTACCAGTAGGAAAATTGGAATCTGGACAATACTTCATAATATCACATCCAATCTAATACCATCCCATTCCATTACTTCCGATCCGATCCCATTTCCTATTCGATCACTACGTCATGTCATGTCATGTCATGTCATGTCATGTCATGTCATGTCATGTCATGTCATGTCATGTCATGTCATGTCATGTCATGTCATATCGTACGGATCGAATGGGAAATGGGATCGAATCATGTCAAATCATTGTAACATATCTCATCACATCCGCTTCCATCCAATCCTATCCTATCCCACAAATCTTATCCCGTGTGGTCACCAGATTTCCCCAATTTTTGCATTTTGACCGCGAAATGCATTTTCTGCATTTCTCCAATCAACACGAATTCGTCTTGATTATTTCAGGGTTGAACATTTCGAATAATAATAACTGTTTTAATGATCAGTTTCTTGCTTTTTCACTTTCGGTAAATTGTATTTGTTAGTATTCTTGTATATTTATTATGGAAGATGAATAATTCTGAGAAAAACATAAGGACGTCAAAACATGCGTTGACGTATGTTAATTGTGATGTTACTTGTTAGCCGTCAAAAAATCACAACACTGATAAAATTTCATTTCCACCCTACCTATAGTTATTAGGTAACATAGGCAGTGTGACTTGGATAATGCCTCATCTTGTGTAGTTACAAATATAGGAGGTCGTCTTTCGACAAGTTATTGGAATCAACCACGGACCTCGTCAGGTTCTTGAGTTAGTATTATAAATGAGTGATGCGAAAATTGTAAATGTAGAATATATGAATATGTTGTGTCGTATATGAGGTATATGATGCATAGGATGTATAATTATTGTATATCATATATTGTAAAACAACAATAGAAACCTCTGCATTATCCATAACCTTGTGTTTAACCAGACATCAGACAAATACTAAAGAAGGGTTGGCTGATATTATCCATATTCCATATAGTACAGTAGTCATAGCAATATTGAGGATGAGGAAAACGATTTTTAAAGTGCAATGCTAGAAAAGATCTATTTATGAAAAGTAATGAGACTCTGCCCAATATTGATATTATTTTATTGAAAACCCCAAATTTTGATTTGGACATAGTTTTATAGCAATATGAAACAATAGTATATATTTTCCAAATCCAACCCTGTTCTCATATTTTTCATGTGAGAAAACAAATTACAAAATTCGGAAAATAATGAAGTTCTTCCCCTGGTAGACAATTTACCTGTTGAACTTTGTGTCGACGATCACGGCTGACCTGCTCTGCGTCTCCTAGCTGCCTCTGCATACTCGCCTAGTTTTAATTACACTTTTAAAATGGATTATTGAGAAATTACCTCTAAAATACATATTTTACTCGAATATGTGGACCAAGCAAATGAATAATATATGCTTTTTTTGTAGAAATTTACATGCAAATTCAATTTTAGAAAAAACAAACTTTTTTTATGTTAAAAGCATGCAAAATGTAAGGATTTCCATGGTTTTGAGACTTAAATATTTAAATAATAAAATCTGTCAAATACCACTGAAAAGATAATCTTAGGATAAAGTTCAAGCATTAATGGTATGAAAAATGGGATTTCAACCTATTGAGTTAACTGGATAATTATATTTTTCCCTATACCAGTGTCTCAAAATAAGTTCACCTTTATTAAATACTACCAGAGGTGCCCATAAAAAAATTTTAAAAATTAAAAAAAAACTTATACCCAATTGTTTAATGGATATTGAATGATCATATTCTTCTTTGCTTTACCCAATCATATCTTGTTTTTATTTCAAATCCGGGCTTATTTTTACTTTTTTATTATAATTGCATTTTTATTTTCAAAAGTATTGATTGGGGGAGGGGAAATTAACTCCGTTATGACATAGTAAAAGAGTATAATTCAACCTAAAAAAATCCAATCATTCTTCTAATTCTTTAATGCATTGCATATTGCATGATCATGTTTGCTTATCCCATTCAAATCTTGTTTTTAATTCAACTCCAGCTTAATCTTGACTGATTTGATCATATTAGCAAAATAATATTTTTTAAATTCTACATCTTCGAAAAAGTTGTTGAAGTGCATTTTGAAGGAAATTTGTTAAAATATATTTTATGCAAATTCAGACAAATATTTGCTTTCCGAATTCATAGATTTTTTGATAAATATTAAAAAATATATTTTTATTTTTTTATTTTTGATCTGACCTGAACCCTGGCTGCTCTATCCTCCAACTCCTGTCTAGCTGCCTCATTCTCCAGGGAGTACTAAAAACAAATAATTTTAACATTGTTAACCAATAAAGAATGGGATTTTTAAATTATAGATTCCGATCCACAGGGATTAGCTCGCTAAATTAGAATCCACTGGGATCAGTTTTCTGAATCTGAGGCCGAATTTAAAGAATTTGATTCGCGGCTTAAATTTAAGTCGCCGTTCAAATTTTGTTGATTTCACTAGAATTTGTATTAAATTTTTCAAGATTTAAGCCGGCGCTAAATTGAAACTGGTTTTTTGGGAATTTTAGACGCGGATCAAATTCATTAAATTCGGACTCAGGATCTACTAAGATCATCTCTTAGGATCCGGATACACTAGGATCAGCTCACTTGATCCGGATCCACAAGGGTCAGCTCACTGAATCCGGATCCACTAGGATCAGCTTCCTGAATCCGGATCCACTAGGATCAGCTTCCTGGATCCGGATCCACAAGGGTCAGCTCATTGGATCCGGATCCACTAAAATCACCTCACATGCTCCGGATCAACTATAATGATCTCTCTGGATCCGGATCAACTACGGTGATCTCTCTGGATCCGGATAAACTATGGTGATCTCTCAGGATCCGGATCTACTGAGATGAGCTCTTTTGATCATGATCCAGGAATTGGTTCCTTGGAACCACGGAACCTCTCAATAAGTTTTGGGAGGTTGCGTGTGAAGGGATCTTTATCAAAATTTAGATTAAGACATTTTATATGTTTGGGAAACTATATAAATTGATAAAAATGTCAAATTATTAATAAAATTAATGAATTATGTACGATCATCCCGCCTCTCCCAACATTGTTCCTGTACCCTGGACTGTCCTCTTTATCTTTATTTGTATGTATAATATTTCAATGTGTACTATGCTTTTAGTTTTAAGGGGAATGGTGTTTAGTGATACCACAAGAAAGAAATGAAGGAGGGGGATGACCCCGGGGGGGGGGGGGGGGGTGAGTAAAAGGTTAACAACTAATATCTGTCGTCATTATATCAGTTTAAATACTATATATATTCAATAAAGAAAGATTTAAACTAACTCCAAGATATCCCTGCAGCACAGACAGAACAAAGTTTAAGACAGGCAAGTTGACAGCAGTACCCACATTTAATAGACAGAGGGTAGAGTTAATGCGACAGCTAGGAGAGAAGAGAATGTAAACTACCAATGACAGATGGATATAGAGAAGTAAATATATTACACAGCCGCTGATATATATTCTCCGAGCAGAATTGGATATCTTTTTATTTTGTTGGACGAAATATGAAGAGATAAGAACTGATGATATTAGATAAAACTTATTAGGATATAATAATAAGAAAGGAAATTGATATTAAAGGTTAGAGAAACAATAGAACATTCTAGAAATAACTAACACTAACTCAAATACAATAAACAAATAAAAATAAAAAAAAGTTTTTTTCTAATCTGGCAAGCTTTTAGTAGAATCTACATTTAAAGATGAATTTTAATGGGCTACAAAACGTTAAAAATTGAACACCTAATATGGAAGTCTAAAATCGGTTGAGAAGCTTAATCAAAGCAACTAATTGACCTGGTATAAAGGGTATAATTGATTGGTCTAATTGGTATAATTATCCTGATTTACATTGATTGGGTTCCCCTAGCATCAAACTATTCCAGTTTATAGATTTTGAGAAAAATAAACATTATACAGTGAAACCCACAACACTGTGGAATAGGTTGACGACAATAAAGCAATAATATGTGTATTTGATATTGTTACAAGTAAATCAGATTTACCAGTGGCAGTAGCATTATAATTTAATAAGTAAAATGAGTCTGTTGTACACTGTACAACAGACTCATGTTTTATTTTCAGTGAACTGTTAAAACTAAAGGGAAGGAATTGCTTTTCTATTCCACAGTTTTGAGGGTGCCCTTGAAGTTTATAAAAGAAGAATCGGGAGTAGGATATAGAATGTAAATTGTATAAAAGAAGAATCGGAAGCAGGATAAAAAATGTAAATTGTATAAAAGAAGAATCAGGAGAAGGATATAAAATTGTAAATTGTATAAAAGAAGAATCGGGAGCAGGATATAAAATGAAAATTGTAAAAAAGAAGAATCGGGAGCAGGATATAAAATGTAAATTGTATAAAAGAAGAATTGGGAGCAGGATATAAAATGTTAATTGTATAAAAGAAGAATCGTGGGCAGGATATAAAATGTAAATTGTAAAAAAGAAGAATCGGGAGCAGGATATAAAATGTAAAAAGTATAAAAGAAGAATCGGGAGCAGGATATAAAATGTAAATTTTATAAAAGAAGAATCGGGAGCAGGATATAAAATGTAAATTGTATAAAAGACCTGTTTCTGACCCTTGATTCCCGCTATTTCAGCAATGTCCATTAAATCCGGGGAAAATGCGGAAAAACAAATAAATTCTGTTTAAAAACAACTAAATTGGCAAATATTTGAAATATTTAAATAACAAGGTTTAATTTTAAGTCTGGATAAGGTCTATACCTTAAAATAAATCTAACAAGTAAAAGAGGTAAAAAAGTACCGAGGGGACAGGGAAACAATACGCAAGGGGACAAGGGTAAGTTATTTTAAGAAAAGGGAAGACTTTAGCACTTGAACAAAGCGACAGAGAAGAGGTTTAGAATAACAAGAGGAACAAGGTATAAGCAATTGAACATGGGGAGAGGGGAGAGATCGGCAATGTGAATAGAACAAGGGTAAGCTACAAAGGAATAAGGTAAAATTTGGACATATTGGCAATAGACAGAAAAAGCAGTTTAGCAAGAGGAGAGAGGAGAGGTTGGCAATGGAGCAAAGAAAAGGTTTACAATGTAAAGATGCGACAAGAGGAACATGGCAAGCTTCAAGGTGGATATTAGATCCTTTTTTTAATACTTTGTTGTCCTTTTACAAGCAAAGGAACAGATGGCAATGAAGATTTACACTATGTTTTATCTCGACATAGTAGAAGAACTGTTATATTAAACCAATAATCAAATATTTGTTTTGCAAATGATAACATGATTTTATTCAATTATTTACAACTTGTCTATCAATGCGTTAACAAAAACTAGATAATTTGACAGAAATTAAAATAATAATTTGATATAATGTTTCTAGTGCATTGTAGTTAGCTAAGGGTAATGAATAGGTGGAATTATCTCGTTTGTTTAAATTAATGAATTTTGGACAGGTTTCATTAGTTATCCTTATTTTCTTGCATATATTCTTGTATTCGAGATTTAAATATTAAAAGAGGAATTTTTAAGTTGAACTCCATTTCTAAATTGAAAATTGAAAATTGAGAAGTTGAAAAAGATAAATTATTTATCCAATACTTCTTCTTTAAAATAATTCATTGAGTAGAATTATTTTATAAAACATAAATATTGAAAAGAAATGCTCTCAATTCAATAAGTTTAAATTGTCTACCTAAAAAAATAGTTGATTGAGTAAGGTAAGGGAGCACTGCATCCAACTAATTAATACGAAATGTCAATGTTTGAATAATTAGAAAATCCTGGAACTGTTTTTAACCTGAGATTTTACAACTTTCCGATCTTCAGAAATATTCTTAGCAATCGACCGTCGATCTGAACTCCATGTGACGGTTTTTCCCCGGCTCCCGGCTGATTCAACAGTCCCCCGACTCCTCCCCGGCTCAGATAATCTGAGACGAGCCGGCTCAAGTGTCCGGCTCCGAACTGGGAGACCCAAACGCTCATCCGCACTTTCACTCCGCCGTAGGAGATCATCCACCGAACCAGAGTCGGTCACATATGGGTGGCAGAGAGAAGGCAAACGATCTATATTACGTTGGCGAATATTTTCCGCCCTAATTCGTGCAGATTCAAGTACACGATGGCGGGCAGATTCGGGAAACCGGATACCTTCCGGTTCTATCACAGAGTTTGGCGGAGACACATTGAACCGGGAAAGGTTTGCTGTGGATTTGGCGGAGGGGGCGGATGGAGGAAAGCTGCTGTAGTTTGATATGTAAACTATTCCCTGAACTCACACAAACTTTCGTTTAATAATTTACAATAATGGATTAAAGCTTAAGAGTCAGAACCTAATATTCTCCATTGTAGAAATTTGCTCTATCACGTTACTATTAAAAATAAAACAGCTATCTGCACTGCAATTCATTAACAACTAGAAATATTTCAATCTACATTTATTCTTGGGAGATTGCAGCAACTTTTTTATTCTAGGGAGATTGCGATTAGCAAATCTGAAGAAAATTCGTTTAAATTGTAAAATCTAATCACTGCACTGCACTGTCTGACTGGAAACAACAAACTGTGTGACGAAATAGGAAGCACAGTGCAAGGTAGGGGGGGGGGGGGAGTATTGTATAAATTTGTGCTTCGGTGAACATGCCTTAAATTAGTAGGAAGAAAATTTCACAGTACAATGTTATATTTCTATTTTACTCCTATTTGAAACCATGACCAGTATTAAAATTTAATCTCAGTCTGATAAACTTAATGGTTAAACTTCGATTGAAAAATAATTCAAATATGAACTTGAGCAATCTCAATTTTAGATGAAAGTATGTTGAAGATTCATTCCTGAGCTATATTTTGGTATGTAGTCTCATCCGCCGTGGAGGAGGCGGGTATAGTCGACAATTCAGGAGAGGCCGGGGAAGTAGGATGACCGGCGGTTCGACAGCTACCACTGCTCGTCGACTCAGGGGGCGAGGCTAACATTGTCGAGGTCAGAGGCCGCTTTGACCGCCGTCGCTGTAACGGCGGTGATGGAAAACTGAGAGGAAGGGTGGGGGCTATGAGAGGCGGGGTTCTTGGGTCGACGGGAAGCGGCGGGGATTCTGAGGTTGAAGGCGAGGTCGAATAATCACTGGTAGGAAGAATGTATTTACTGGATGAGGATGATGAGGGTATCCTAGTATGCTCTGGGAGTACTTGATACTGAGTATGCCTAGACGGATGGTTCCATGCACTACTAGGCAGTAAATCAGGCATATTATTCTTAACCCTTCGTGTCC